ATCAGCCTGCTCCTGGAATCAAAGCATGTCCTAAGTATAAGGTGTATGAAAACCACCACTGAAGCTTTGACAGCTTCAGAATATCACCACTTACAAAGGATTCCACAGATTCTTTGCTGTGTGTGCCCTTTTTTGTGTTTTTGTTTTTTTGGGGTTTTTTTTTTTGTGTGTGTGTATTGTTGTTGTTGAGGCATGGAATAGTTTTATTTTTACACGGCTCCAGCTTACTTTGTGATGGCAATTAAGCTTATAAAATACCACATGCTGTATGTGAACCACTAATTAATAAATGTTCTCATATGTTTATGCTGCCAAAAGTGATAATCAAGTAATTATACATTTTTCATTGATTGAACACCGCATATGTGTCAAACATTGGAAGTAAGATGACCATAGTTCCTGGCTCATTTTATTAAGCTTGTGGAAAATCATATAAGCAAACACCATGTAATGAGGACTATAATGGTCAGAAATACAGAATCCTGTACAAGGACATTAGAGGAGCCCCTCACTGAGACTAGAAGACAGTGAAAGCTTCCTGGGAAAGACAACAGAAACCAGATAGTTTAATGAAAGGAGTGTGAAAGAAGTATTCCAGGTAGAGAAAACAGTGTGTGGGAGAGGGGCTGAGAACAAGAGAAATGGCTTTTTGGAGATACCAGAAGTTACCAAGATAGAACATGAGGTGTCTGGAGATGAAAAGGGTTTAAAGGACCTTGTGTTAATTAGCTTTTCTGTTGCTGGAACTCATACCTTGCCACCAAATGCTTTGGGTGCTGGATATGAAATTAATGGACTTCATGTTTGCTCTCCTGAGTTTGATCTTGTTTTAGTCCTCTTCCTTTCATCCTATTTCTCTCTTAGGATGGGAATGTTTAACTTGTGCCATTGTATGTTGTATGAATTTAACTTTCTTTTTGATCTGTACAGGGACTCACAGCTAAGAATTTGCCTTGAGCTTCTGGCTTAAACCTTTAAACAATGCTGGAACCTTTAAGACTTTAGTAACTCCTGCATATGGATGGAGTATATTTTGCATAGTGAGGTGGATGTGGACCTTTGGGGGCTACAGACAGCATCTGATGGTTTAGATATGAAATGTCCCTCAAAAATCTCACGTGTTCAGAAGTGGGGCTTTTGGAAGATGATTGTGTCATGGTGACATTATACCTATCAGTGACTTTATCCACTGATGAGTTTACTGCTGAATATGCCATTAGCAGGTCGGGCCCAGTTGGAGGAGATAGATCATTGGAGCTGTGCCTTTGGAGGGTCTCCCCACCATCCCCACACCCCCTTGTCTGTCCCTGGGCTCTCCCTGTACTCTTTGCTCTCTGGATGCCATAAATTGAGGCTTCCTCCAGAAGCCCTTCCACCTTGCTTTTCTTGCATTGGAGTCAACCAACCAGATTTTGAAACTAAACATCAAAATAAAGTTCTTGTCCTTAAATTGAGGGTGTCAGGTACATTATATTGTCCCAGCAAGAGGAAAGCTGACCAATACGTTTGGTTGTTTCTTTTTTACAAGTCCAGGAAACCACGCATTTCTTAGCCCTAAAGTCTGGGAATGTGATTTTTAGCAATTTTCACAAATTATAAGAACTCAGTAGTTTAGATGTTTAAAGTTCTCAGACTTATGTTTACCTGGTTGAGATATTTGATTTACAAAACCAGTCATCTCTAGAGGTAAAGATTGCTAGTACAACTGAATAATTATATTGTGTTAGGAAATTATAAATGCACCTACTCTTTACAATATTAGTTATATGGGAGGGTTTCAGAAAAAAGTGAGATGGTTTGGAGGGGTCTCCAAATTCTAATGCTACTCTTCTCCATTTTGTCATCCAAAAAGGACACTAGTAATTGGCCATAGTACTATTTGCTGAATCCAGAGTTAGAATCAGCATCCTTCCAGCACATATAGCAGGCAGCTCTTACACAGAATGATTAAAATCTCATTTTTTACCCTTCATTTTTTTAAAAACTGCATTCCCAAAATCTTGAGTACTTGTCCTTTTTTTGTGTTTTGTTTTTATTAAGTATCTTTTTTACAGTACAGAACAATAATGTTCATTTGAGGTGAATTGGTGCATACATATAAAGCATATTTTGATCACTTTTTACTTCTTCACCCCTCTTTTCTCTCCCTCCTCCTACCTACCTCCAAGAGTCTTGCTTTCAGTTAACTCTTATCGCTTCTTCATTTTATTCATTTATATTTAAGCTCCTTATATGAGAAAAGGTGACACTTAACTTTCTGAGTCTTATTTTACTTAGCATGATGGTCTCAGGTTTCATCTATTTCTCTACAAATGGCAGGATTTCATTTTTCTTTATCACTGAATAATGTTCCATTACATCTACATACCACATTTTCTTTTATCCATTTATCTGTGATGTCTAGTACTTCTTGTTAATTGGTTACAGCAGTGGGAATAAATGAATACCGAAAACAATGAGTACCAGATTGTTTTGGCTGGATAAGAGTAGTGAGTCATGAGGGAATTGACACTGAAAGTTCTAGTTTGGGTATCAAGTATCAAAGATGAGTACTGGGGGGATGTTGCATCAAAATGCAGTGAGTACCAAATTCAATGAGTTTAAAAGCAATCCAGTACTAACATATGACTGTGGTGCATGATATCTTTAACTCAGGAATATATCCTGGTGAGCTATAGCTAAGTCAAATGGTGTTTTTAGTTTTAGTTTTTGAGGGATCCCCGTACTGATTTCCGTAGTGGTTATACTGTTTTACATCTTTACCAACAATGTAGAAGGCTTCCTCTCCCAGCCTCTTTTCTTTCCCAGCATTCTTTAGGGTGTGCATGCTGTATGTGTGTTTGTGTGTGCGTTCTTCAGTATAGCCATTCTGCCTGGGATAATGTGAATCTTAAACTTGCTTTGATTTGCATTTTCCAAATGTGTGAAGATATTGAATATTTTCATGTACTTATTTGCCATGTATACTTCTAGGAATTATTCTGTTCATTTGCCTTTTTTTTTTTTTTTTTTTTTT